TATGTTTTCATTGGCAAAAAGGGGAATAAAGATAGATGACCGCGACGAGACTCGAACTCGCAATCTTCTGATTCGAAGTCAGACGCCTTATCCATTAGGCCACGCGGCCGATCATACAATAGTTACCAAAGATAAAGGTTTATAATATTCATATCCCTTTGACAATTGTCTTTTTATATAATTATAATGGTCTTACAAAACTAACGAATAAAATTAAGTTTAATTATAAAGTTATTGTCTAGCATATGTCAACTATAATGGAAAATAGTGATCGCACTCAAATGTACCGACAAAATCAGTAATCTTCATTAAACACCGCCTTTCCTTGCTGATCTTCATCAAGATATCGGTATCGACGTATCGTGTATAAATGCAAGAAGCATATCGGGCCGAGAATTTTTTGATAACACCTCGTACTAATACATGCATGGTTCTTGGCGAATGTGGAAAATTGCCACTGTGTACTGCATATTATAAAAATGGTATCCGATATTGTTGTAATTGGTTAACCATGCCATGCCATCACATAGACATCCAAAGCAATGTTATAACATTATCATTAACATTATTATTATTATCATTATTATTATCATTATCATTTACATTTATCATTATTAATATTATCAGTATTATTATTATTATTATTATCAGTACCGTATAACCACATAACTCGCCTTTGCCAGTACACTCAAAAACATACCAAGTAAACTTTGCATGTGCATTTTATGCACCTTTAGAAGTCAATTGATTGTCTGTCCTAGTAAAATTGGTAGCTGAGGTTCGAGAAAACACCCAATTCCGAATTTTTATTATTTCATATCAGGCCGGTGTTTCCGTTAGTTTCTTTTAATGCCGAGTATGAACTGCAACATATGACAGATATTTTTATAAATTAATTTGTATTAAACCGATAAAGAAACTTTATTTTCGTACTTTGGAAACTTATTCTCATGTGAGCAACGGCAACTTTTTAAAAAAATGAAATAAGTAATTAAGTTTTTTTTTTTAAACTTGTACATATTTTATATCTGTCATATATATCAAGGTCAAGGAAAATACATAGTCAAGATCTGATCAATTAGTGATATGAGTTCAGAAATCGACATTTTTATCTCTTGTAATTTATTTTTCTATTTTGCTTTTACTCAAAACACGCGTAAATCGTCCCTTACCGTGTTGATATACATCAGCGTAACAAACCCAGTATTATGCGACGAGGTGGCCGAGTGGTTAAGGCGATGGACTGCTAATCCATTGGGCTCTGCCCGCGTGGGTTCGAATCCCATCCTCGTCGATATATTTTATTACGTTGTATAACAATGTATTCTTTTACACACATTTAGGGTGGGATAGTTGGCAATAACAGAACAGGCGATAACTGATTCAATGCAATGTGCATATCATGTTAACAAAACAGTATTCGTTATAAGATTGTTAATTAAAAGCCCTATGATAATCATCTTTAATTTAAAGATTCAGTCAACAAAGAAAAACGTTGAAAAATGTTCTCATTAGCATAAAAGTGAACAAAACAAGATGACCGCGACGAGACTTGATCTCGCAATCTTCTAATTCGAAGTGGCCAGTATTATAATAGTTACCAAAAATATAGGGCTTGCAAAATATTTTAATAGTCTTTTTATGTCTTAGACTAATAGTTTTACAAAACTAACAAATAAAATATAGCGTTACGATAGCAAATTGTATTTAAACTACAATAGGATATAGTGATTAATTTTGTTTTTAACCGATCAACATTTTGCAGGCAAAAAAGTACCAGTAAAATTAAATAGTAGCAATAATGATGAAAAATATTTAAATGCTGTGCTTTTCTTAAAAACGTAAAAATGTGTTTATGATCCTTTTATTTTCTATTTTTTATTGAAACAAAACACGCTGCGGCTTTCAGGAAAACCATTAAATAAGGTACTTTTGTCTGAAGCTCTGCTTTGCTGGAACGATTCATGTTTCCTTGCGACAATATTACTGATTACTACAAGCGGATTTAAATTTGCCGACTTTTTTTAACTTTGTGGATTAAAAAAATAATTGAAATATTTTCCAAAAATCGTTATGTAACACAACTGATGACGTCATCATTTACGCATTTTTGTCTTGCTTATGTAGAGGAAACAAAGACGAAAAAAATCATTTTTGAAAGAAAGAAAAAATAGACAATAAGTTCGCTTAGGTGATGTAGGTATCCGTTTATAAACTTTTTTTTTTCAATGGAGGTATAAGGTTGCCAAAAGTAAATGTTCTTCATTTGTTTTACTTCATTTTGATAAGCATTTATGTCCGCGCTTAGCTCAGTAGAAATATCATCGGATTAGTTGTTTTGTTATCCTGATGTTGCTTTTTCACACTGAAAATTGTTTATCCACGTATAGTCTTATGATCCATTGTGATTCACCGCTGATGGGATTTGAGTCAGTCACTAGCGGTGATATTGGTTATTAATGGTTATTAGTTCTGAAAAGCTGTCTAGGTGAATGGTCAAAACTGGTATGAAAACTTATTGAAAAATATATTTTGACATTTTTTTATAAAATATTAACATCTGAAACCATATAATTAAGGTTAAACCATGACTTTAAGCTCTTCATTGCTATAAAATAAGAATGTTATAAACTAAAGAAACGTCCGGCCCATAATTTGATTAGTTCTGAAAATTATAATTTTCGGTCTTTCTTTAAGAAGCGAAAAACGGAATGAAAATAACGACGTACATTTTTACTTAATGAAGTGCAGTTAGGACATGGTTTTTAACAGTCGATGTTGGTTGAATGTGTAAAGCATCATTATTCACAACTTTATAGTTACGGCTTTGGCTATGTTATGATTGTAATAAATTCCATAAGTACAAGCATGTTTATTTCATTCTTTTATCATCTTTTAAAACAAAAAATGGCACAATAATATTACCAATGTGCCTATGTGTTATTATTCAATTTATTGTTAAAGAGACAAAGGTCCCAGGGTTCATGTTTAAATAAATAAAATATATAACTATGAAAAAGAAAAATCACTCACATTATATTTTAAATTAAATTTTTCATATATTTTATTTTAGAATTATTTCAAAGACAAAATTTGTGTGTGTATTGTATCTTCTGAAATAACATGTGCTCCGTACCATTTAAACATAACTTTATGAAAATGTGCTAAAACATTACTGCATTCACTCGATACATTGGACATAGGAAATATATAAGATTTATCATGTATTTTTCTATGAAATAGTGACAAAAACATATGACTTGCTAGAAATCGCTTCTTATGACAAATGAGTGTGTACCGTTCCACTCGGCCCAGGCTATGAGAAGAAAACTGTACTCGAATGTTCTCAAGAACCATTCAGGGGTTATCAGAATTTTGATATACCGTGGAAAGCTGATATAATTACGTGTACTCTGCGCCTTAATTGATCAAATTCGGTTGAGTAATAAATAAGTTATAAATAAAAAAACTGTCCTGAATCTGGTGAAAAATCGGCGTGCTCCGCACCCGAAAAGTCTTGTGGTATGGCCACATTGAAAACCTTATAAAAGAAATGATCACAGGCTTTTCAAAATAACTAATTGCGTTTAAGGTAGAACATATAAACCCTAATGGTTTCTATAAGGAGCTGTAATATTGACAACATATGACAGTTAAATGCCTTAAATGTCACATGCATACGAAATTTAAAATTTACCGTGATGTTTTTGAGTTATGACATTTTTTCTGAACTAAAACTTTGCTATTAGAGGGGCTCTTTTTCAGACATGTGGAAACTTTTAATAAATATACAATTTCATCATTATGAAAAATGTTTCTCATTGCTCATTGTTAATAAACAAATAATAAGATTCGGGTTACAAATTACACGAGCAATATAGTTGTTTCTGAACAAAATTTTTTGAATATAAATAAAAAAAATTATCCTACCCCGCCCACTTTAAAAAACATTTTTGACCATTTACATATGAAAAGAGCTTTCTCAAAATATACCTAACATTTACTACAATGAGGGGCATCTTTTAAAGGTTCCCCTAAATTTCTTAAAAATAATATTTTGTAAATATTAAATGCTTTTATCGTATAGTATTTTTTTTTTTTTTTTTTTTTTTTTTTATTTTTCAAACTTTGAAAATATCTGGTTTCACCTTGGAAAGGAAAAACAACCATTTCCGGGGATCGGGCCGAGTAAAATTTGAACAACTTTTGTAGAAGACCTATAGACAATATTATGTACCAAATATCTGGAACCTGTACCTTCAGGCAAGGAGATTTTTAATGTGCATTTCTGAAACTTCTTTTCTGGTCTTGTGAACTTCTTAGTAACATAACAACCATTTACAACTCTTAACAACCAATCACTTCCGTACACATCAAGCGATTTCATTATCAAGCATTGGTTGACCTTAACACCAGTGATTTCTTTTAGCAACCACTGATTTCCATGCAAACCAACCTATTTTCCCTAGCAAGCACTGACTTCTATTACTTTATCATCCACAATTTCAGATGCATTTCATTCAAAGTTATCATTTTTTTCGTGTCGCTTTTAGTCCTTTTAGTCAGGTAAGTGATATAACGGCCATCATCAACTTTTGTTTTATATGTTTACAATTAATCTTACGGAAAAAACTCCCAAACGACTTCAATCATTGTGGTTAATGGATCAATATAATTATACAAACAAGCGATAAACTTTAGTTCATTTCTTTTCCTAAATGCTTCACAATGTAAAACACTGCATTTCAAAAAATAGGCTGGTTCAAGTTGTCAGGTTCATTTTCTTTGTTCACACAGTAACATTAGTATCTTACATTTAACGCAAATAGATTACATAATAACGTTTATAGTCACCAAAAAATTGTAAGTTGATATGATATTGATTATGATGTTCACAGTTTAGAATATTCCAGTCATAATCTAGTACTTTTTATCAAGCTGATAAGCGATAATGAGTTTAAATATAACATATGAGATCATATGTTTGATTGAATTGAGAAGGCACAGTTCAGTGTCATTCAGCTCGTGTAAATGTAAAGATGTCTTTTGCAGCCGGTGCTGCAACTTTCAACAGTTGTAACAAGGCAGGATCAATAGTTCAATTTACTGAACACCTCAGGAAATTTCCACACGACTATAATTCACTGATTTGGCGATCTAAGGCTCACAGCATTGTTGGTAATCGACAGTTGGCTCTGTATGACTTACAACATGCAATCTCTGTCAGCAGTGGTGTTAAACGAGATGTTGCTGAAGGTGAATTTGTGTTATTATCTACACGTAACTTAGAACAATTTGGATGTTATACGAGAAGAACAGTTGACAGGTTTAAAAATGAATGGAGGGCTTGGGAACAACTTGGTAATTATCATTCCTTCAAAAGGGAAGAAGAAAACGCCACACACTGCTGGGAAACTTCGCTATCTCTTGCAACCAAAAATCATGAGACGAAGGATCCAGGTATATGCTGGATTGATTATCAAATTGGAAAATATCGACTGAAAAAGGGAGAAATAGAGGCTGCAAAGTCATACTTTTCAGATGCGGTGGAGTCTTGTGAAACCCACACTGTGTCGCATATTCAATTATGTGAATGTAACATCCAGCAAGGTAACCTACTCGAGGCCAAGGAACATTTCCAGATAGCTTCAAAACTTAATCCAGAATTGTCTTCGTCACATTTTGAAAACAACAGTTTTGATGAGTATCTCTTGCAAAAGTCAGTAAAATCTCTTTCTTTGGAACGTCCCTTAGCTTCTAGATCAAGGGTTAAAGATGTGGCTGGAAAAACTGGTAGTGGATCAGGTGGCGGTGGTACCCGTGGCGGAGGAGATAGCAGCGATGACGACGAAGGTAAAACAAATTTTATGTTTGTTTGCGTCACAATTATAATGATATCTACACATAAGTGTGATGAGACTTTTATGTATTATTAAAGTGACAAGCCAGTTTTAGTTTTGGGTCCTTCTGGCCGCTGGTCCTTGAAGCTGGGCTGGTCCTTGAAGCTGGTCGTGTAGGGGTTGTGTTCATTGCACGCCGCCTTTCCTTGTTGATCTTGTTTATCATATTTTAAAGAAGAACATCACAGAGATTTATTCTACTAGAATCAATTAATTTATTTATTCATTAATATAAATGTTATGATTTTAAACAAAATGAAGCATAATTATGTTTTGTTTAACGGTTCATTTAATGACATTGTTTTTTTGCATGATATAAACAAATGATCGTTAAAAGCAATTAAAACGGTCATTTGCTTGTTATTTTTGGCAGACGTAAATGCGGTGTGGACAAGGTTAAGGAATGAGGCTCCATGTATTAAGAGGTATAGAGGTAATACGTATGCTCAATCCAAATGTGGGAAGTTCTGGTACAGCAAAGACACAGCTGGGCACGGTGGTGCGCAGTTCAAAAGATATGATAATACCCGTTCCGAGTTGCGATTTAAAGATTCAGTTGATGTAAAATTGAAGCCTTTATTGGGAAAACACGAATCAAGGGAGAATCAAGTCATTGAAAAGTCAGGAATGGTTGGGGTGAATAGAAAAAAAGCGATTAGAAACTAAAATGCCAAAGATTTGTTTTCGTAATTATTGGACAACTGTGTTTTAAGAAAGAATATAAATAAATTCAAGATATGTTTCAGATTGAACAATGTGCTCTTTCGTTGCAATAGAGTTTCGTGTATAACGCAATTCAGTTTTAATCAGAGCTTACATTGTTGTTTTATGTTTGTTTGCTGTATGTGTAATTTCTTGTCCTTGTATTTTATTTCTACAACGGATTCTAATACACGGATTCTAAAATTGGTTTTTAAAATCTATTTTGTAAAATAATGTATATTATTATGACAAAATTAGTTAGCTGATTTAGCCCATAATTGAAGGTATGTAATATCAACAAAATAATTCTGTCGATCCTTTTTTATTCTTATTTTTTTTCTTGAGGGGGGGGGGGGGGGTCATGAGGGTGGTTGCTTTTATACTTGAAAACAAAACACGAAGTACTATACATAGATGGTGTTAGTAAATGTAAGATACATGATCAGATATTTTAAACGAGAAAAGCTGAAAAGAAATTGTTAAACCCATCTTTAATACTTTTCTTCATCATATAATTCGTTATCTATATTATTTATAATCAATTTGGCCCCTTTTAATATTTTTTTATTATATTTTTTTTCAAACAATCTTTCATCCAAATAACATATTTCTGTTTTCACTATTTTAAAAATGCTACTGGCAAATGTGTCCTTTTAAAACCTTTCCACATTGAGAGTTTTATTCATTTGAAACAAGGTCGAGGTAACCGAATTCAATCAATTAAATTATAAAGTAGAAATTGAGATGAAAAGGAAACAAGTTGAAACAAGTTAAATGTTGAAGCTGCACATCAAAGACGCCGCCAAATGATGTGAACAGTCACATGTAATCTTGAAAATCGTTCTCTTTTACAGTTGAATATCCGAAGCACTATATAATAAATCAATTTTTTTCTCCATTTTCTTGGTATGTGCTCGTTGTTTACTAATTATGTTGCATATTTTTGTAAAAATGTAGAACCTAATGCATAAATTCATAAAGTAATGCCATATTTGTCTGTTGAAACAAAGATTGAAAGGTCTGGTCGAAGCAAAATAAATTGGATAACGAGTAAAATTTAAATGATTGGTATACTTAAAATAAATTCAAGACGAAGACAAAGGTAAAATAAATATCATCGTTGCGTCGAGATTATGATCATTTGACTATTAGTGCGAATTGCATAATGTTCGAATGATTCTGAGAACGAAATGTTCTGTTATTTTACAAATAGCACAATTTGTCAGTAATATCAAATAATAGTTATGAATAAATTGTTAAATATAATCAATTCTTAGTAACGTATTGTTTTCTTATTTATAAAAGATCAAACTACTTGATTACATACAAGCCTGGAATCTTGGTATAGAATCACTAAATGTAATACAAATACTAGGCAAAAGAGAACAATCGTCACAGAATCCTTCAAAATAACCTATTGTAAATAGATGTGATACATGTTAAAATAAACATACTTTTTTCACTAAGTTAATCTGTTTTATAACATAAATGTTTATTATTTTTATGAATTAGCACAGGTTTTGCCTGTTTTGCAAAAAAATATTTCCGTTTCGCCCGTATCGCCAAAAAAATCGTATTTTAGTCATACCCCTTGTTCCCTGCCCGAATTTGGTTCCCGTCATTAGACTATAGACGAGTCTGTCTGAAACTTAATGGTTGAGCTAAGCGAACTTTCTTTACGGTTGAGAGAGAAAACGCCTCTCTGACAGTGGGTGTGGTTAAGGCTTGGTAACTTGCATTCTAATGTTGTAGGGAAGTGATATTGAGTTGTCCTGGTTCCATTCCCTCCGTCAACGAAGATTAAATGCTAGCAAACAGAGCAATTAAATTTTTCGACAATTTAAGGCGGAGCCGTACTTCAACTAAGGTGGATCAAATGAAGTAAGTGCTTTCGGCTTCAATAAAAGTAATGAAAAAAAAAGTAATTGAAAAATAAACATTTACATCACCAATCAAAAGCAGCGTCTGTTAAGCATATGTTGCCAATTGGTTAAGGTCAGTAACTTCGAATCCATTGACCGTCACTGCTGGACATTTGAGTTTTTGATATGAGAAGTTATCCAGCTAGCCTATGGGAATACAGTGCATATAAGTCAGGAAAAAAGTTGCTTCATGGTAAAAATGGCTGCCTTTCATTACTTTGAGTGTTTGAACTGGCGTTAGAATATATCCTTTTGGTAAGTTGTTATGAATAGTCTCAGGAGTGTTTTAAATTATATTAGCTTCAAACTTTATTAAATGTGATCTTTGTATGAAGATAGCTATAATACCAAATAATATAAAGTATGAGTAAAGTAACATGTTTTAAATTTATAGCATATATATATTTATAGTAAATCTCTTCGATCAAATACCGTTGACTTCAAACATGCACCATACTGTCGTTTATAAAAAAAACATAACATTGTTTTTATCCTGTCTTTATAAATCAGTTTACATGTTTTCTAAAACTATTTGAAACAAATTAATTTTTACCTTAAATGTTATGCATATTTTGAAGTGACGGGATAGTTTGAAGGAGACCCAATATATGTTGCATTAATGTTGTTCATGTAAATCTTTAAATAAATTATAATCATACATGTTCTAGATTATACTTTCGTCGGGTATATCATCTGTGAAAGCATAGTGAAGCTGTAATGTAAGCGATTACCAGACATCCTAGACCCCTGGGGTAATATTGATAAACTTGTGAATAAAATAATTATATACCTAAGTAAATGAGTGGAATGCCTGTAACAGTCCTAATAAATTATTTTTTAATCTTGTTGATTGTTTACAAGATAAATCTATTGCTCAGCTGGAGTAGCTTAATGTTATGATTACAAATAAAATCTATTTTGTAAACGTATTTAAATGTTTGATTTTCTTATCATGATGTGTGACAAAATGTCGACTGACGCGGTGCATGTCATAGAACATCTGTTATCTATATGTAATTTGATCCACTTTTAAAGGACACACAAACTATTCAAATTGCAATCTCTGCAGGAAATCTGTACATAAACGTTGGAAACCATCATATTATTAAAATGTATCACACTGTTATGGAATCTGCTTACAACCACATAAAAGGGTCGTGAAGGATATATCGAAATCACCTTGCGTCAATTTATCTATCTGTTTGTATATATTATGTCTTCTCAAATTATACTTTTTATTTATATTATCATTTGGTGAATATTCTAAAAAAAATTGGGAGTCTTACTTTATCCTTGAAAAGGTGAATTATAGAAACCCAGAATCATTAAAAAGAGCAACATTTCAGCGACATGTTTAGCTATTCAACAGTTTAACATGTGAAAGCCAGGCAAGATTTGTTCTATATTAGCTGTTGTGATATTTTGGTGCTGCGAAGCGGAACGTGCAGGCAATATGCCCCGGTAGGCTATGTACTGGTAATTCCTGTAAAGTTTTATCGAAATACCGCCAGCAGTGAACGCCTGACAATGATTATCTACTTTTAGCTCTAAACTTGCAGGCAATATGGCACTGGTCATTCCTGTGTACTTTCGTCGAGTTCCCACAATACTTTTCTATTTTAGCTCTGGTGGCGATTGCATGCAGCGAAGCGTAACTTCTAGGCAAACTTTCAAAAGCAAAGTTGGTACTGTTTACTCCTGTGAAGTTTCAGCGAATTCCCACTTGCAGTTTGACCTGTGAACACCTAACAAGGATTTTCAATTTTTAACCCAAGCCAACATTGTGTTCAGCAAAACGAAACGTGCCGACGATATGCACAAGTAGGGATAGTACTGATCACACTATGAATTTTCTTCGAATTCCCGTCGCAAGTTTGACCTGTGAAAACCGGTCAAGGATTTCTAGTCATTTTGTATTGCGAAGCGAAACGTGGCAGCACACTTTGCAACTAGGGTTGGTATCGATTACTCCCGCCAAGTGTCGTCGAATTTCCGCCAGCAGTGCGACTAGTGACGGCCGGACATGATTTAACTATTTTAGCGATATTATGATCTTACGTTTTACATGAAAACCCTTTCACAAATAATCAGATACATTTCACCTACCAAAAAACAAAGTTAATACAGGTTATGTGATTAGAACGGTTTGTTTAGAGGCATTTACTATAATTTAACAGAGCCTTATGAAATCCTTAAAGAAACTCCACTGAGGTTTATATGCCTAAAAACATAAAATTTTAATTTTTCACACAGATAAACATGAGCGCTTAAAACAGAAATATAAATAAAATATAACCAAGAAATATACAAGAAATACATTGAATATCATATGTTTGTGCTATTCTCAGTCCGATTTGAGTGAAAAGCGTTTAAACGCTGCGTTTAAACGCTTTTCAATTTTGGGGTCATTTTTCACTATTATACTTATTATTCTGGAAAACGGATGAAGCAAATGATCTGAAATTTTGAATATACGTTATTAGTATTGATCTACATCAAATGGAGAAATAATCTCAAAAAATTATTTCTAGTCCCGTCATGTCAAAAAACCTCAGTGGAGTCCCTTTAATACATCAAATTGCATTAAAAGTAGCTGCATAGTGGCAAGTATGAACAGACTTGTCTAGCATTATAATATTTGAAAATATTCTGGCAAGCTTCAGAAGCAATTCGAATTTGAAAGAAAATTGAAGTACAAACTATCACAACCTTTTCACATCATTTGTTAATTTATTTAATCCATAAAGGTTATTTTTATAAACATTTCTTGTTATCATATGGTCTTTTGTTCATAACAATTGTGAAACATGTAAGGAAAACACATGATTTAGTTAATATTATAAACGATATCTTCATTTTCTTGTGAATGCATATTTGTATATATTTTACAGAAAATGATGGACGGCGGTGGTTAATGCAAGGTACACATTTGCATAATAGTTCTACAGTAAACGCTTGAAAAAGATTTTATTATCGATCTTAGGCCATACTTTTTACATTTTATGTTTTATTTTTATTATTCTTTTCATATCACAATATTTGATTTGGTTTTGTTGAATTCCCTTTAATCTTTCGTTTGCTTCTTTGCGTTTGATTTTTGGATGTTGCTTGCATTTTTGTTTAGTCTTCATTCATTTGTTTTGTTCAATGATGTGCATTCATTTAATGAATAATTATATTACCGTGCGCCTGAACGCAAACTTACAATCAAATGTTCGTTTTCGATTTCACGTTTAATAAAATTCCTTGTATAAAATATTTCAAAATTAATACTTGAGAAACATATGAATAAATAAATAAAATTTGAGAAAACCAGAGTTCCCTATTTAAAGATAATAAAGATACTCTCCTTTTCCAGTATACGAGTATTTTATCTATAG